TTAAATGTCTATTTGTTTATTTACATGTTCAGGAGTGCTCCCCATTATATGTGCTTATGTGTGTGAGTTGTAATAGTACAGTATGTTCACTGTACAGTGTACTTTCCCAGCTGGGTGAACAACAGGGGTTTGCTTGAGGTCTTATCTGGTAGTGAAATGCTAATCATTGACACAAGTATTCCTACACTTATATTAAACATCCCACTTTCATTACAGCATCTCCCTGTCTTGCTAAGCAGGAATTTTATGGAGACATACTTTGCTATGTCTCTCTTTTCCATATGGATCAATTCCACCTGGTCAGCATTTGGTCTGTCTTGGTTTTTGTTGCTCTGCTGCTGAGCTTAAAAAATATTCGGTCATGGTACAGTGTATGCACCCACATCTCTCCACTTTCAGATGTCTCTTTCTCACTCCTCATTCTCTTCTCTCATGCTCTCTTTTTGACGACGGGACTGCTGAGCTGAGAATGAAACCTCGAGGAGTGCTGCTTTTTCGAGAGCCCGTTTTAATTGGACTGCAGTCCACTGTTATATTTTCTTTCTCTCATGGGTGCTTGCAAGTGTGGAAGCATGAATGTGTGTGGCTTTGCAGTAACTTATGACCTCGGAAGTCCTGAGTGCAACTTGCTCATAATTTACTGTCTCTTGCACAGAATTTGAATCTCAGAGCTTGGACTGGCATTTGCTTCTGTATCCCATACTTGAGGATGGCAGGTTCTGCTCGGGTTCCCGTGTTAAGTTGAGTTGGTATTTAAAAAAAAAAAAAAAAGCTAGGTGCACAGAGTGATTCTACAATTTAGTTACTGTTCATTTATTTTGTTTTGTAAAGACACATCCTTGCATAAAATCCCTTCTAGCAACCTTTGACTTGCCAACACATCCTGCAGTTACCCCTGACCTCTGCACTCCATATGCTTAAAGGTGCAGTTGGTATTATCTAGAAGGATTTGTTAAGGATATATTATGCATAATTATGTTTTGATTGAGTAATCACCAGAAAATAAGAATTGTTGCATTTTCTTTGGCTTAGAATGAGCCTTTATATTTACATAGAAGCTGATCCCGGCTGCTGTGTTTTTTACAGTAGCCCCGAATGGACAAACCACACACTGGTGTGAATTTCATGTAGAAGTAGCACCTTGGATTGGGAGATGGTTTGTAGACAAACAGTAACATTAGAAAAAAGAGGAAGCATTTTTTAAAATGAATTTTAGAACTATAATTTAAGTGGAGAATTATAGTTTAACATAAGAGCAAGGAAGATGGTGAATCCCTGTCATCAAAGAAGCAAAGATATGAAGAAACAGGACACTTTAAGTTTAACTGTGGTCAAGGGAGCTGTTGATTACAAAAATCCAGTCAAGCCACCTGCCCTTTTTTAATGTGCTTCTTTTCATCCAATTCCGGTAAGGGTGCTAGGAGCAGCTAAGATGGACATTTAAAGTATGGCTGCGTGTTTAGTAATGTATGAAAGTTTTGTTGAATGTTGCAATCTGCATCCTCACTGCTAGATGTCACAGGATCTCATATACTGCACCACTAAGCGACCCTGACAAATGGTTGGCTTCTCTGGTTTGCTGCCCTATATGATTCCATGACTCGTGTATGGTTGTATATTTGTTTAGTGTTGCACAAGCAGCAAACTTGTCTGGTTATGCCTGTGGCCTTTAGCATGCGGCATCGTTGTTGTTTTGGCCACTGCACTGGCTAGCGGTGATTGCTCCTCTTTGGCAGGGTTTGAGCTCCCTGGCCAGCATCAGATTTCATGGTGCTTTTTAGTGAAAGAAACATGTCAGGAAAGTTTGCTGTGTGGCCAGCATCAATTAGGCATGACTCTGAGTGACAATGGGGATGTTAGTTGGACCACACAGTGTTTTGATTTCATGTAGAATGTAAAATAAACAAAAAGAAGCATGTTAATCATTTTTAGTTAATGTTGAGGCCTGAGTTTGCAATATCTGAAACAAACAGGAATGAAAGAATTTGAGTTGTGGCAACATATTCAGTTTTTCAGCTGCTTCTGTTTTAAGCATCTCAGACTTTTGAATGAACACATTTCCATCAGTAGTTTGTGAGGTATCTAGATTGCTTTGGAATATTCATAGCAAAACTTTACTTGTCTTTCATTTCCTGATTGTCATGACAGAATAGTTGCCCCCACGTCAGACTGACCACCTCCACCCTCTCAAGTTGTTTTGATTAGGGTTTAGACATAATTATACAACTGCGCTGACTGCTGCAGTGGCAACCACACAGCCGGAATGATGGCAACAAACTGATGGCTTGTTTCATTGATCCCCTTGTATTAATGAATGAATGTATACAGAAAGAACACGGCAACTAATGACGGATGACTGCTATACAACACCTCTTACTGATGTTATGCTGACACAGTTGGTGAAAATAATCCACAATCCTGGCTATTTTTACTCTTAAGACATTTTCCTGACATCTCTTCAGCTCTCACGTCTTCAAAGTGCAAAAGAAAGTGACAGGCTGAGAGAGGATGGGAACAAAAGAGATACAAAGATGCTTCTGTTTATGTGATCACAGACATTTGCCCTGCTGGTCTTTCAGACAGCATGAGAATGCACAAGTGGCAGGATGAGAATTAATTGCATTTTAATAATCGTCTTTTAAAAATGGGCCCTGCGCCCCCCCCCCTCCCCCCCTTTTTCTAGCAGTGAGTACTTCTCTCTGCCAGTAGCTGCATTAAAGACTCATTTATCTCTGGGCCACTAGCCCTCAGCTTTCTTGTTTACAGTGTTACCTGGGTAGTGAAGTGAGACTTGACTTCACTGTCATCAGTATAGCACAGAGAGCCAACACCAGGTGGTTCATCAGTATGTGGTTTAACACTGATGACATTATGATCTGAGCAGTAAGCCAATGCTCATGCCAGATTTTGTTTAGGGTCATATTTGTGATCTAAGCAAACTATTCTTTTAACCTTTGACCCCTTCATCTCACCCCCACAGGCAAAAGATGATTGGGGACTTGCATTCCAGCTGTTCCTGTGCCTTTCCTACAAGTGTACTGTGCATCGCACTTTGCCCCTACAACCTAATGGGTCCCTGGCTGCACTTTTACCGCCTTATGCCCAGAACTTTTTTTTTTTGGGCTTGGCTGTCCCAGCCTGACCACCATAAATATCTTTGCCCCCCATCGTTAGTGATATTATGGCCAAATGGTGCAGCAGTAGACCTTGCTCCCCTGTGGTCTGTATCAGCCAAGCCAAATAAATATTACATGAACTTTATTCTATAAAGCGTGGCCGTTGTGCTGCACTAGACTTTTCTAACTTTTACGAGCTTTGATCAGCCAGCCAGCCCTGCTGATGCTATGTTGCACTTTGTTTCTGAGTAGTTAGTACTTTTTGAGGGTTCTTTTTTTCTTTTTTCCCATCTTCACTCATTTTTCTATATTCTATCTCTATATATCTTTGTATCAGCTTTAACTTTTTCAGGCAACGTTCATCCTCTCGCTCTCTTTGGAGCAATGGAGCTGCCTTTGTTTTAGATTTACTTCACACATGGTGTGATCAAAAGTCTCTGGATCCAATTTCATGTGGCTGAAGACTAAAAGCCTGTGGAAAAAAAAAACTATATAATAAAGTAAAAAGGAGTAAATGGGAAAACAATTCTCCATTGGGCTGTGTGTGTTCTTGCCAGGTGGAGACATCAATTGATGGGACCTTTTCCCCCAGTACACTAAATAATTTCGCACACAACTGGAAAGGGGAATCATATTTTGTCTGGGTGTGCTATACCATCTACTCAAGCACTTGGCGTAATAGACTCAGGCTTCAGCAAGTCAACCAATCAGAAAAAAGCCACTTACCCTGGATGTGGAATGGGATTTCTAATATTAGATTTGTAATAAGCAAATCATCAGTGCTACTGGTGTGAGAAAGCCAGTATCTATTATTATCGTAGTTTCTTTATCTACTAGCCCCAGTGACAAAATGGCCCAAAAGCCCTGCGACTACATAAGGTGGCTTAATGCAAGTGACTGGTCTCCTCTGACATTTTGCTTTTTTAGTCTGCCTTGCTACCAACAAGGTGGAAGACTCCTTTCATTGTGTCGGTGTTTTACACAAACCTCAGGGATAATTTTTCCTTTTGTCATACTTTCCCACCCATGTATGTCCATTTTGAAGCCTCAAACAAACCTTGACACAGCTATTATCTAGTGCCAGCCACGGCCTTGACTTCAGCCATGAATCACTTCAGCTCAACATGGTGAATTGAAAGAGTATTTATGACTGTAATTGTAATCAAAATCTGTACTACAGTATTTCTCCCTCATGCCAACAACTTATTCTAATGTTGATATCATAAGGCTCTGTCATTGGCAAGATAAAAATAGCCTGTTTGCTACTTTGAAAAGATGCTTATGCAAATATGGCTCTAATAAGCACTTTGGCAACACCATATGCCATTGCATCAGTGTCACCTTTCAGTGGTAGTGGCACCAGCGAGAGAGGCGAGCAGAAGGGAACTGGGAGTAGAGAATTGGAAAGGGGGAATTACGAGGGAAGAGCCATTTGGAGGATGAACAGTTAAGCCGTCTGGTCTCGTCCATCAACTCTCCCACTTGCAGGGTGTGTTGTGAGAGTCCTATATGTGCTGAACTGATACATGAAATTTTTGTGAAAGCATAACACGACCTCATGTGATATTTGTTAACACATCTCCAGTCATTGTAGGCTGCCTGTTCTAATCTGCTTCCTCAGCTGGCTATGTCTCATTTGTGCTACTGTCTTTGATGACAACCTGCTGTAACATTGAGCTTTTGAGAAAACATTTTATTTTGCAGTCTGTCAGGCTGGATATACAGTTCCTTTCATTTCCGAAATAGTGGAGCCATAGTGTGAATATGGTGTGCAAACATGCAGGTTTTCTCCACTGTCTGTCACCTACTCTGTGTGGATGCGCGAGTAGGTGCACATAGTATTTCCACTGTGCTGTTTATGATTTGAATTCCCCCTTACTACAGGCAAAGGACCTGAGATACTGTTTGCGGGACAGAAGCTGAACGACAATGAGTGGCACATGGTGAAGGTGGTGCGACGAGGCAAAAGCCTGCAGCTGTCTGTGGATAATGTCACAGTGGAAGGTTAGTTGTGTTTTGGGGACACAGATTAATTTGGGGCTTTGAGTGTAAGGATGGTGTGGTGCTCTCAAATCTATATGTATTATCCCCACAATAATGTGTGGTGTTTTACCATTTGTCACTTAACCTCAGAGGCAGCTAAAGTGTCTTTATTGGCAAATGTCATACTTTTGTTTTATTAATATACCTTAATACCCAACATTGGTCATGATCATACCCACACTGACTTGCAATATGTCTTGCAAACCAATGATGTAAGATGATGTCATGGGGTAGGACTGGATAAGTCTGACTTCTTCCTACTCCATTCAAGCATGTACTAGGTATAAGCAAATTGATATTGGATTAGCATTTGTTGGATATGTGTAAAATTATGTGTTGATATATTAACTGTCTTTACATGCTTGAAAGAATAAATCAAATCAAATCAATATGTCTCATTTTAAAAGACTGGAAATGGTGAACTACAGTCACAGCAAATCCATATACACTGAACAAAATTATAAACGCAATACTTTTGTGTTTACCCCCATTTTTCATGAGCTGAACTCAAAGATCTATGACTTGTTCTATGTACACAAAAGGCCTATGTCTCTCATATTGTTCACAAATCTGTCTAAATCTGTGTTAGTGAGCACTTGTCTTTTGCCGAGATAATCCATCCACCTCACAGGTGTGGCATATCAAGACGCTGATTAGACAGCATGACACAGGTGTGCCTTAGGCTGGCCACAATAAAAGGCCACTCTAAAATGTACGGTTTTACTGTATTGGGGGGTCCGAAAACCAGACCACTATTTGCCTCACGCAGTGCAGCACATCTCCTTCGCATAGAATTGGTCAGGTTGTTGATTGTGGAATGTTGGTCTACTCCTCTTCAATGGCTATGTGAAGTTGCTAGATATTGACTGGAACACGCTGTTGTATACGCCGATCCAGAGCATCCCAAACATGCTCAATGGGTGACATGTCCGGTGAGTATGCTGGCCATGGAAGAACTGGGATGTTTTCAGCTTCCAGGAATTGTGTGCAGATCCTTGCAACATGGGGCCGTGCATTATCATGGTGCAACATGAGGTGATGGTCGTGGATCAATGGCACAACAATGGGCCTCGGGATCTCATCACGGTATTTGTCCCAAAATGCCATCAATAAAATGCACCTGTGTTCATTGTCCATAACGTACGCCTGCCCATACCATAACCCCACCGCCACCATGAGCCACTCGATCCACATGTTGATGTCAGCAAACCGCTCACCCACACAATGCCATACACGCTGTCTGCCATCTGCCCTTTACAGTGAAAACCGGGATTCATCCGTGAAGAGAACACCTCTCCAAAGGGCCAGACGCCATCGAATGTGAGCATTTGCCCACTCAAGTTGGTTACAACGATGAACTGCAGTCAGGTCGAGACCCCGATGAGAACGACGAGCATGCAGATGAGCTTGCCTGAGATGGTTTCTGACAGTTTGTGCAGAAATTCTTTGGTTATGCAAACCGATTGTTGCAGCAGCTGTCCGGGTGGCTGGTCTCAGACTATCTTGGAGGTGTAGATGCTGGATGTGGAGGTCCGGGGCTGGTGTGATTACACGTGGTCTGCGGTTATGAGGCCTGTTGGATGTACTGTCAAATTCTCTGAAACACCTTTGGAGACGGCTTATGGTAGAGAAATGAACATTCAATTCACAGGCAACAGCTCTGGTGGAAATGTCTGCAGTCAGAATGCCAATTGCAAGCTCCCTCAAAACTTGCGACTGCACATTTTAGAGTGGCCTTTTACTGTGGCCAACCTAAGGTACACCTGTGCAATAATCATGCTATCTAATCAGCATCTAGATATGCCACACCTGTGAGGTGGATTATCTCGGCAAAGGACAAGTGCTCACTAACACAGATTTGTGAACAATATGAGAGACATAGGCCTTTTGTGTACATAGAACAAGTCGTAGATCTTTGAGTTCAGCTCATGAAAAATGGGGGCAAACACAAAAGTGTTGCGTTTATAATTTTGTTCAGTGTAGTTGTATAAAGTGCTGAAAGGAGAGGCTATATGCAATTTAAACTGATCACAAAAGAGAAGTAAGACTTTTTTTTTTATTTTTAAATGTACTGACTTGTGATTGAGCAGCTCTGTACAAAGTACAGAGGAACACAGTTTTTCAACTACTAAGAAAGTACCAAGAGCAGTATGAAAGGTCAAAAGATGAGGTGGCACAGACAATCAGTATTTTGGCCTCAGGCGAAAGGATGAGAGGGAAGAGGTAAGGGAAAAAGGTGTGAGCTAGATGAAGAAAAGCGAGTGGGCCCAGTGAGGCCAGAAGCAATGGATGACCCTGTGAAGGTCTGAATTGTTCACAGCCTGCTTTATGGGAAAGAAAAAGGAGGAAGCGCCTAAGGGGTTCTGGTATGGCTGGCCAGGTTTCAGCAGGGAAGGCAGTTTAATCGGCAGTTTGCCAAGCTCATTACTCCACATCTCCCAGTAAACACTATACAGTATAAATTGTGGCATGTAGAGCAATAACAAGAGATTTTCTACAATATTATGCTTGTATAATTTCCTTCAGAGCAGGTTAGAAAAATGGGTTCATGCTTTGTGAACACATGCAATAAAACCTTATGCATTACACACACTTTTTGTCAAGCAACTAAAATCAATTTTAAGATCTAATAAGCATAATACAGCTATGCCACAATCATATATTATGTGATTATCACCAAATGAATATGGCAGATACAGTAAATTAGAGTTTAATATGCATTGCCTTAAGTTAAAAGTATTAAAAAGACATTTTCATGTTACAGTGGCTCTTCCAGGATTATTGAGTTTGACATACAGCTTTCATAAAAATTACAAACTGCACTACAATTAATAGATTTTTTTTTTTTGTACTCCACTATTTCAGGCCAGATGACTGGTGCCCACACACGTCTTGAGTTCCACAACATCGAGACCGGCATCATGACTGAGCGCCGCTTCATATCTGTGGTGCCCTCAAACTTCATTGGCCATCTCCAGGGCCTGACCTTCAACGGGGTGCCATATTTAGACCAGTGTAAAAATGGGGACATCTCTTACTGCGAGCTGAATGCCCGCTTTGGCATGCGCCACATCATTGCAGATCCAGTGACGTTTCGAACGAAGGGCAGCTACTTGGCCTTAGCCACGTTGCAAGCTTATGCCTCCATGCATCTCTTCTTTCAGTTTAAAACCACCACACCTGATGGCCTGATGCTCTTCAACTCTGGCGATGGGAGTGATTTTATCGTTGTGGAACTGGTGAAAGGGTTAGTACCTTTTGATTTCAGTTGATTGACAAGAAAGGTTAAAAGATGCTGGTTGTAGCATGTTGTTTTGTTCCCAAAAAATCTTTTGCCTACTGCCCCATTCTCAGAATATTTAGTTTTTGAAGAGAGTAAATAAATTTGATTTCTCAGTTGGGCTTTTACTTCATCTCCTATCTTCTACAGACAAACATGAAAGCCTTAAGGCTCACTGTCTGCTGAAAGTCATGCACTGTCTCTTGTTTTGTGCAATAATGTCACTTTGCAAAGCAATCCAGTCCGTTTCCTGCAGCTACACACTGTGAAATACACTGAGGAGTGTAGTGAATTGTCAAGTGATGACTACACCAATCAAGAAAGGAGCCCTCGACTATCATTTAAACTGTTCCCAGCAATAAAATACCATATGAACCTAAAATATACAGTGTAACAAAATAGCTGAAATGTAGCCTTTTCCTCAAAGTTGACACAGATCAGTGACTCGGTTAATGCTGCTATGAATCAGGGTTGGCTCGATGAAAGTGACTGCATATTAGGGAGTAATCAATTCATTGTTTTCAGCTGCAAGTTCTATATACTTCAGGTGGTTATTGACTGGGAATGTTGAGTCATGTCTCTTTGTATTACAATTCATTACCTGATGACTGTTAATGCTAATTGTGAGCACAATGGATTTCGTTGACAATAATTGGCAGATTTCATATGAATACAAACACTAGCACAAACCTGAAATAAACTAATCTGAATTGAGAACTGTATCACCCTAAATGCTGTTTTTAATTAGAGTATCAAAAAGAGGCTTTTGCTTGATTCCTCTTGTGCTCTATATTTAGCACAGCTACAATACAAAAGCCTGAGATGCTTCTGCCACACAATGACAAGAGGCAACATAAAAGAATTGGAATTGAGGTAGAAAAAAACCGCACATACCTTGAATGAAACAGTCACAATGACCTTAACACAAAAGACAACCTTTTTTGTGTGAACAAGGAAACTGTGTCATCATGTCTGCCTGTGTACAAACAGGGGCTTTTAGACAAAAGCGGGTTTCTATATCTACGTCAAACCAGAGAGTAAACAATAGAAATCCCAAGCCTCATGCCCCCGCACAAACTGGTAAGTTATTTTCCACCAGAATATGTTCTTAATCAGAGGCATTCAAAACAAAGTAAGAACAGAATAAAAGTCTATCTTCAATCACTTCATCATGTTAATTGGAGGGTGTGCGTTTTTGATTGTGACCTGTCATCATTGTCTTTGAAAACATTATCATGAGAAAATACTCTCCGAATAAGTGCTACCATGATTTTCCTCATTTACTGAAAAATTGTTGATTGACAGTGATTTCCCCCCCCCCCCCCCTTTTTTTTACAGCTGTTGAACTAGATTTGTAATAGCTACACAGACGCACACTCACACACTCCTTATTCATTTTGTTTCTTCACAGGTATGTTCACTATGTCTTTGATCTTGGCAACGGACCATCACTGATGAAGGGAAACTCAGACAAGCCACTCAGTGACAACCAGTGGCACAATGTGGTGGTGTCCCGGGATGCCAACAATGTGCATACGCTCAAGATCGACTCACGCACCGTTACTCAGCACTCCAATGGAGCCCGCAACTTGGACCTCAAAGGTAACGGCAGGCTGCCCAGTGCTCAGTGATAGATTTTTCCAGAAAACATTACCACTGACAGGAGAAAACTATTCCACTGTCATCCTTGGTCTGTCCCTTAAGTGTTGTAGAAATGTGGCCATGAACACTTGCCAGCTCAAATCCATCTAAATTAGACCCACTCTCAAGATCACACTGGCTTTTAGAAAAAGTTCCACTGTGCATCCATTGGTTTTCTTGGCCACTGAGGAGTTCTTAATTTTGGTATTGTTTCTAAAGGAGTTATTGAAATGTTTTGTTCTTGAATAACTGACAAATTGTAGTTATGAAAGATTATAATTATCGTGTGTGTGTGTGTATGTATATGTGTG